TTCTTTCCTTTAGGTGGTCTTACCAACTCCCAAGTTTGGTTCTTATGCAAGGATTCAATCTCTTCATGCATAGCTATCAACCACTTAGCAGAATTAACAAATGAGATAGGTTCTGCATATGTATTGGGTTCTGTAACATCAACATTCTCTGCAACTGACAATGCATAGGCAACCGAATCAGCATAACCATATCTCTAGGGTGGTATAGTCTCTCTCCTTGTTCTGCCTCTAGCAATAGAATGCTGCTCCTCCTCTTCTTCCTCTTGTACATGTTCTTCTATCTCAGTAGAAATGGGTATCTGGACTGATGTAAACTAAGGTGAGGAAGCACTTTTAACTTTTAACTCCACCTTGTTCTGCCTCTAGATATAGAATGCTGCTCCTCCTCTTCTTCCTCTTGTACATGTTCTTCCATCTCAATAGAAATGGGTACCTGGACTGATGTAAACTGAGGTGAGGAAGCACTTTTAACTTTTAACTCCACATTCTTTCCTAAATCTTGTGTTTTATTTGCATCACAAGAATTTGAAGACTCATTTCTTGGGTGAAGCATAGCAGATTCATCAAAAGTAACACCTCTGCTAACTATAAATTTTGGTGATTTTGGATTAGGGCACCACAATCTGTATCCCTTCACACCTGAAGCATAACCAAGAAATATGCACTTCTTGGCCCTAGCTCAAGCTTGCCTTCATTAACATGTGCATATGTCGGACAACCAAATATTTTCAAATTTGAATAATTAGAAAGGTTGCCAGACCATACTTCTTCTAGAGTCTTACATTCAATGGTTGTAGATGGAGATCGATTTACCAGGTGGCAAGCCATATTAACTGCTTCTGCCAAAAAATCCTTTAAGGGCCCAACATTTGACAACATGCACCTTGCTCTCTCTAGTAGAGTTCTATTCATACATTCTACAACTCCATTCTATTATAGTGTTTTGACAATAGTACGATGCCTTACAATACATTCATTTTTTTGCAAAACTCATTAAATTCATTTTCACAAAACTCTAAACCATTATCTGTTCTTAACCGCTTGACCTATTTTCTTGTTTGCTTTTCAAGGAAAGTTTTTCATTGTTTAAAAGTCACAAATACATCACTCTTATGCTTTAGAAAATAAACCCATACCTTCCTAGAGTAGTCATCGATGATGCTAAGAAGATATTGAGCACCACCCTTTGATGGAACGTATGAAGGTCCCCATAGATCTGAGTGAACATAATCCAAAGTGCCATTTGTCCTGTGAACGACTGTATTTGATGAGGGCGGATTTGGCCCTCAGTGAAATTGTGACACCTAGCACCTCATGCCAATTAAGTGTAGCCTCTTGACAACTAGACAACTCGAGCTCACCACAGGCAGCTCGCCACAAGCAGCTCGCCATAGGCAGCTCGCCACAGGCAGCTCGTTATCAGGTAGCTCGACGTCTTGTGGAAAGCTTCCTACCTGACAGAACCGTACCTGCCAATCCTGAAGACTACACCCACGACCCTCGCCTGGCGGCATAGTATCTGCCAACTCTGAGGACTGCACTCATATCTCTCGCCTGGCGGCGCCGTGCCTGCCAACCCTGGAGGTTGTCCCCTGCCTGGCGGGACCGTACAATGGTCACATTAGCCCACCTGCTCCCCAGTTCTGATAAGGACGGTTAGTCACTCCGAAATGTTACCTGACAACGGATCCCGCCGTAGCAGGGATTTGCGATCAGCCCCACCAAATCCGTCAGGGCACCAGTATATAAAGACTCTAGCTTCCTAGGGGAAAAGGTATCGCATATTCATCACTCTCTAGCTCTTATCTTCTTGCATACTCATTCTCTTTCTTAGCTCGCTACCGAGTTCTAACTTAAGCATCGTAGAGTCCCCATCAGGTGTTCAACCCCAGGTCCCTTCGTCCTTCTCGCAGGTATCTCTTGCCCGTCGCCTGCTAGAAGCCTCGTCACTTCCAGCTAGGAGTGGCCGGATTGCGCATCATCATTTGGCGCCGTTTATGGGAAACATTTCAAAAGGCTTCTCTACCAAACTTTCACCAGCATCAATGACGTCTTCTAGCAACGCCGGGCTTAACAACGGAACAAACACCTCTGGGGGGCACCTCCAAGCTCCCACTGTACGTATTGGACAGTTTATTGTACCCCTCAACACCTTCGGAGTTCCCACACTGGACCTACCCTAGGTCGCCGAAGCTGTGAACTCCCCACTCCCTTCTGCGGTGAACACCACCTTCGCTAAACCCGTCGTGGTCCCCCCCGCGGTGGGGCAGAGCCAGCTTGGTGACTTACTGCAGTGCGTACAAGAGGACCAACAGCCCCCGCCGCCTCGCAGCAACAAGGCAGGTCGGGGAGAGCCCACCCCACCAAGGCTGGTCCATCCCGGCACGTGCAACCGGAAGCCTCATTGACGGGCAACCAGTTCGAAGTCCTGGCGACAAACTTTGGGCGAAGTCCTTCAGCTTGCGAAAGCTAGTTTCAGTCAGACTCTCACCTAGCCAAGGCCCAACCTAGCAGCACCAAAACAACCAGCACTAGCGCGGACTCAGCCAAAAGGCAGCGGAGGTGGCGTCCCAAAGCCCACCGTGCACTAATCCCTGAACAGCTCGCGGAGCTCGACCTGCTCGAGCAGCCCAAAGGTAAGGCTGGAGCGGACTCGGGGGTCACGAAGGCCGCACCCCTCCTTTCGGTACCATCTCCCCTCTCTCCTGACCTCCTAACGAATCCCATGCCAAAAGGCTTTAAAATTCCCCCTCTGGACAAGTACGATGGGTCGTTCGATCCGAATGACCATGTGGACTCCTTTCAGTCCCAGATGCACCTCGCCGGAGTTAGCGAAGCCTGCATGTGTGTCGCTTTCTCCACGATCTTCAGAGGAGTAGTGTGCACATGGTATAGAAATCTCCCATCCGGGACAATCCGGAGCTGGGCGTAGTTCGTGCAAGCGTTCACCTCGCACTTCATCACTAGCAAGAAGTGTCTGAGGTCGCCGGAAAGCCTTCTCAGCATCATCCAGAAAGAGGGAGAGTCCATCCGGAGCTACTTCAAGTGCTTCAACGACACCTGCCTTTTGATCCTGAACTTGGACCCCGCGGTTAGACTCGCTGTGGCCAAAGGAGGAGTCACTCACCGGGAGTTCAAGTGGCACGTTGAATCGAACAGGCCTAAGGACATCACTGCATTCCTCAAGCTCGCTGACCAATTCATCGAGACTGAGGAGGAAATTAAAAAGCCGGAGCTCCAACAGAGAAGAGGAGGAGAGACAACGGCAAAGACCGCGGCACCGCATAAGTCCCAGTCGCCTCTTTGGCATGGGAAAAGCCTAGGAGTGGACTACGAGTCGCTCCTCGAAGCCTAAGGGCCACGCTACTGCTTAAGACCCATTCGCCTCTACGGCATGGGCAAAGTCCAGGAGTGGACTACGAGTCGCTCCCCGAAGCCTAAGGGCAACAATACTACTGCTAAAGACCCAGTCGCCTCTACGGCATGAGCAACAACACTATTGCTTAAGACCCAATCGCCTCTACGGCATGGGAAACAATACTGCTGAAAGACCTAGTCGCCTCTACGACATGGGCAACACTGCTGCTTAAGACCCAGTCGCCTCTTCGGCATGGGCAAACGTCCAAGAGTGCACCATGAGTCGCTCCCAAGGCCTAAAGGCCACAATACTGCTTAAGACTTAGCCGCCTCTACGGCATGGGCAACACTACAGCTTAAGACCCAGTCGCCTCTACGGCATGGGCCACACTACTGCTCAAGACCCAGCCGCCTCGTCGGCATGGGCCACACTACTGCTCAAGACCCAGCCGCCTCGTTGGCATGGGCGAAATCAACAAAAGTGGACTATAAGTTGCCCCTAGAGCCTAAGGGCTACAGTACTGAACTGGTAGAGACCTCCTCACCTTACGGGCAGCTCGCCACTATAAGGTAGCTCGCCACTTACAGGCAGCTCGCCACTTGCAAGCAACTCGCCACTTGCAGGCAGCTCGCCACTATAAGGCAGCTCGCCACTTACAGGCAGCTCCCAGAGCCTAAGAAATTAGATCAGTGCTTACTAGCTTGTCGACTTACGGGCCAAAAGGAGAAATCTACTCCCTTCGCCGAGTTACTCTCAGCTCAGGAGTGGGGGGCAAATGATGAGGGCGGATTTGTCCCTCCAGTTAAATTGTGACACCTATCACCTCATGCCAATTAAGTGCAGCGTCTTAACAATTAGACAGCTCAAGCTCGTCATAGGCAGCTCACCATAGGTAGCTCGTCATAGGCAGCTCGCCACATGCAGCTCGTTATCAGGTAGCCTGGCGTCTTGTGGAAAGCTTCCTACCTGATAGAACCGTACCTGCCAACCCTGAAGACTGCACCCATGACCCTCGCTTGGCGGTGCTGTATCTGCCAACTCTGAGGACTGCACTCATGTCTCTCGCCTGGCGGCGCCGTGCCTGCCAACCCTGGAGGTTGTCCCCTGCCTGGCGGGACTGTACCTTACAACGGTCGCATTAGCCCACCTGCTCCTCAGTTCTGATAAGGACGGTCAGTCACTCCAAAACGTTACCTGACAATGGATCCCGTCGCAGCAGGGATTTGCGATCAACCCCACCAAATCTGCCAGGGCACCAGTATATAAAGACTCTAGCTCCCCCAGGGGAAAATGTATCGCATATTCACCACTCTCTATCTCTTATCTTCTTGCATACTCATTCTCTTTCTTAGCTCGCTACCGAGTTCTAACTTAAGCATCGGAGAGTCCTCGCCAGGTGTTCAACCCCGGGTTCCTTCGTCCTTCTCGCAGGTATCTCTTGCCCGTCGCCAGCTAGAAGCCTCGTCACTTCCATCTAGGAGTGGCCGGATTGCGCATCATCAGTACTAAAACTGGTTCTTTTCTGTTTCTCGAAAACACAATGTTCACAGAAGTCAAGATTTCCTATACTTTTGCCACAAAAACGACATTTCCTACATAACATAATAAGTCCCCTTTCACTCATTTGTCCTAGCCTCATATGCTATAATTTGGTGGTGTCAGACTTAGATAGAGATAATGTAGAAATTGCAATTGAACCTGTGATAGTAGTACCCTGTAGCACATACAGACTTCCTATCCTCATGCCTTTCATCACAACAAGAGTACCCTTATTGGTTTTTAGAACTCCACTTCCTGAATATTTACACCCTTCAACATCTAGAGTACCAAGAGATATGAGATTTTTCTTTAAGTCCGGTACATGCAGTATTTGTTAATGTTCTCACAACACTATCATGCACTCTGATTCGAATTGTTCATTTTCCCACAGTTTTACAAGAGGCATTATTACCCATCAATACAACTCCACCATTAATAGATTCGTAGGTGGAGAACCAGTCCTTGTTGGGACACATATGGTAGAAACAACCTGAATCTAGAATCCATTCATCCTTGGATCTGGTTCTATCATTTGTCATTAAGAGAACATCCACATTCTCATCCTCAACCACACTAGCCTCTGCAGAGTTATTCTTTTTCTTTTCTTCATTCTGGTTTTTATTTTTCAACTTATAACATTCTGACTTAATGTGCCTTTTCTTGTGACAATAGTTACAGGTCAAATTCTTATGTCTAAATTTTGATATAGACTTTGGTTTACTATTTGAGCCCTTATTCTTAAACCTCCTTCTTGAAAACAATTCAAGTCTTGACTATCACCCTTATTCATAGTCAAGTCTTTATCAGTCGTGTCTTTGACAAGGAGTACTGTCTAATTTAACCATTTCTTGGATAGTGCGCCTAATAATAACTTCTAAGATTTGTTAATTTTGTTTTCTTTTTCTTTTTTTTTTCTAATGTTTGTTGATCGAAACAAAGTGCTTTTTGGCTCTTACTTTTTTTACTTTTTTGAAATACACACTTGCTTTTCATAACCAATGCTAAGGGATAAAAAAATAAACAAGAAGCCACACAACCATTTTACATTGTTATTTTCAGAAAGCAAAAGAAAAAAAAAAAGAAAAAGGACAGAATTCTCATTTAAAAAAAATGGTAGCATACGATTCTCGAACTATACCACCCTATTTTACAACATAAACTTACCAACCATTCACCATTAATATTGCTCGGGGCTAAGAACTTCATTAATATAAATCTGCATTTTTTGTCTTAAAGCCACTTCAACCATTCACCATATATATATATATATATATCATGTGTCATGTTCATGTGATGTCACATGACACAAAACTGAGTTCTCAAACTATTTATATATATATGTTTGATTGATTTCGTTTACTCCTTACAAAAAGTCATTACTAGAGAGTAGAGAGTCTAGAGACAACCATTTATAGCACATAAATTAAGACGATGATTAAGACAACTTCCAAACTTAATTTGACATAAAGCAATAAAGAAGAAGAAATTGAAAAAGAACAGGACAACCATGCAAAACAAGAGCAGAATCGATCCATCCAAGCAGCTTGTTAATTACTGGGCGGGGCCGGGGTCAAGCGGCATAAGCGGTAGGGGCCAATCTAGGGG